GATAAATGCAATGCTGAGGGCGCAGACGGAAAGTGCAGGAATGGTGGATTCGCCCATCCACGAAACTGCTCAAAATGTATATGTCCCAGCGGATATGGTGGACAGCTTTGTGATGAAAGGGTGACTGTTCTATAGCTGTGGAGACTTGCAGATCCTGTAACAAACCTATTTAGCCACCAGGTTGCGGTGCTGTGTTGAATGCGACTCAAAATTGGACAACGCTCGAAGACCCACTCAATGCTACCGAGACCGGAAGAGACGGTTTTGGAAGATGCCACTACTGGATTACGGTCACTAATTTCCTCGAATGACTCAATCACTGATATATAATTGAAGTGTATTTCAAGGCGCCAAAGAACAGAACGGTAGAAGTGAAAATCGTGCAGGTACGAGTGTCTGGCCCCTTCTACCACGAAGGGTGCACCAAAGGTGGAGTTGAAATCAAGACACATAATGGACCAGCGTCGCACCGGTTACAGGTACACAGGCCATTCAAATAATCATTTTAGTATTATATTTTTAACAAAGCCCTTTTGTAGGTTTTGCTCACCGAACGCCGACAATACCACCCTCAAATCGAACTTGAGTTTGGTCCCTGTGATAACATTTAAACTCGAAAGCGTGGAGTTTGGCGGAGGCGAGGAGGAAGTTATGGGCGAAAGCCACGAAGAAGACGATGAAAGCGGCGATCATAATGGAAGACGAGTACGCCGATTACTATGATGAAGAAGAGGTCCTCGGTGATGTCGTAAAGCTGGAGTACCGCTACGTTTGAGGAAATAATCCAATTTAATAAAGCATTTAGCCATACTCAATTCCTGAAAATTTAAAATATTCACTAAGATCCGCAGAGATTGTTCTTGCAAGTTTACTTTTCTATAGCATACACAATCAGAAATAGTCCACGATCGTACAATTTGTACATAACGAGCTCTTCCTTTTCGCTCTATTTGATAAAATAAACACGGAGGGACTCAAGACTTTATTGCCATGACCTCCTGAGCTTTGCAACACACCTCCATCAGATGCTAAGTCCACAGAACCCATCATTAGAGCAATTCATTAACAAATGCCACAGCCATTACCATAGATATCAAAATTGACGCAGTGTAATGTCCCTGAGTTTAGAGACTTGCAAGCGTTGATACCCTCGCACCTTTTCAAATGCTTGTGAAACCGTTTGGTTCGATCAGACATTCAGTTTTGTGAGCATGTTCTGTAGATTTTTTTTGCACTTCCCCCTCTCATCCACTACTCAGAGATTGCTGGAGAAAGACTTTGCTGAGTGATTCTGCTCGAATGGTATGAATATTGAACTGCGTTAAAATGCTGCGACCACGGAAATATTAAAATCTCAATGATCTCAGTTAATTCGGGAGCCAATCACATTCACAAAGTGTATGGAGACAAACAGTGTTAAGTCGATGAAAAGCGCCTAATGCAAAGCTAAGTGAATTCCCAAAGCCTTCTATACTCAATCGGCCTATTTATTCTTACCAACAGCAGGTGAATCTCTCATTGGTACGTAAGCAGAAGTGGAACAGTAGCAAACTAAAGTAAAGCTAGCTGAAAATAAACTATTGCTCTGTCGCTGGATCGAGTTTAGGAATATGACCATTTGTTTGGTTTTCCGATATATTGCTGATGTTGTCAGAGAGACAATCATGGCCCCGAGCCTCTTCATATTGCTGCCCTTGAATTTCCGCCAATTCTGTGACATTGCAACAATTTTCTAATAATTGCCTGAAACTTGAAATGAATTTTTTTGATTATACTAAAATCCCTATATATAGATTCACACGGGAAATCACTACAGTAAGCACTGCGACTGGTCCGTTGACTCTGCCTTCTTGCTGGATAAAGCGCGGAAGTCAATGGGAAAGTCTACCGCTAGGAGGCAACCATTGAAGAAAGCACTGGTATGCCTCCTGGAAGTAGAATCATCAACAATTCTGTCTCCTACAGGAATGCGCTCGGGCCCACGGATCAATGTATCAATCCACTTCTTTTGAGATGAGTATCGGCCGTTCTGTAGTGACGAATTCGTGGTCAGCTTACAGCACGAATTCGGATTCATAAGGCTACTCTCTCTGAGGTTTCATTGAAAAACAGCTAAAGTATCGAAGTGTAAGATGTTTTGTGATTCTGAAAAGGCTGCCTAAAATTTTGAATGAAATATGCGTAGAACACCTCCGCCGCACCATCGACTCGCTGAAGAAACAAATTGAGGCCTGTATCAGAAGTGATGGCAACTACTCCAAACCTTTTTTACAGTTACAAAATATCATTGTTTGATGTTTTATAGAACATAATCTGACATGTGGCTGTTCTCGTGCGCAGAAAAATGAAGTTAGAACGTATTTTATGGCGCACGTTTTATTTTGCCCCTTGTAAATCACAAAAACATTTACTACGCACAGATCAGTTTCAGATTATTTTGAAACTTTCCAGCATTCTTGTGAACGGAAGCGAGGAATCGGAGTCATAAACCAGGTGCACCAAAAAACAACAACTTGGACAAGACTAATGAAGTGGAGTCAACAGTGGAAAAATCACCAGCAATAAAGTTACTTCCACTAGACTGGCTCCGTACAAACAGCCTCATGTGGGTCCTGTACGGATCGTCAGGACGCAGTGCTAGACGTCTTCAATCTTGTTTCAATGGTGTGTAGCCCAATTCGAGAAGGGCATGACGTCACGACAAATTGAAATTGCCGATCGAACACTTTGTCGTGATTGAATCCGTTTGCGTTCGACGTTAAAATAGACCTAAAAGGCATCAGTTACATGAGAATATTGGTCCGAAAGTTAATATGACAAAACTAGAAGATTTTCTCTATCGAAGCGTGACTGAAGCAGCTTTAACTTCTTCTTCTTCTTCTTCTCCTAGCGTTAGTCCCGCGCAGTCGCAGGGTCCGCTGTCTTTATCAGTCGTCGCCACTTCGCTCTGTCTAGGGCATCTTCTGCTGTGGCCGTGATTTCACTTAGGTCCTTCTTGATTACGTCCTTCCACCTCTTTCTTTGGGGCACCTCGCGGTCGCTTGCCTTGCGCTTCGAAGTCCATTGCTTTCCTTATTGGGTGGTCCTGTGGCCTCCTTAGCACGTGCCCATACCATCGCAGACGCTGTTCCCGTACCTTCAGCTGGACAGGGGCAGTCTGCATGACCGCTCTGACCTCCTCGTTTCTGACCCTGTCCAGTCGCGTCCAGCACAGGCCCATCTCAGCATCCTCATCTCAGCGGAGTGCAGCTGCCTTTCGTGATTCTTGTTCAGGGGCCAGCACTCGCTGCCGTATAGCATCGCAGGCCTCACCACTGCCCGATACACCTTTCCTTTCAGTGTTCTGGAGCACCTTCGATCGCAGAGGATCCCAGTGGACTCCCTCCACTTCATCCAGGCCGCGTTGATTCGTGCCTTCACTGCCTGATCCACACTTCCGTCGGCTGCCAGATCGCTCCCGAGGTATCTGAAGTCCTCCACTCTTTCGATGATCTCTCCATGGCCGTCTACGATTGGCTCTGCACCCTCTTCAGAGCTCAG